CCGGATTGACACCTCTACTTGCCAAACATGAGAACTTTTTTGAAATCAAGCTTAACCCTTACAGATATTCCTTCAATAAAATGAAAATGTATCACTAAAATCTACTCGACATAAATCCTCATCTTTTTTTTTTCTTTTTCTTTTTCTCATTCTTTCGAGATAAAATTGATTATTCATTTATTCAGTAGCTGTGGGTTGCTTCCTCTGTCGTCTCCGGTGAGCTCTTGTCAAGGAGACCTTAGGATAAGTTGTTAAAACTAACAGGGGAGGGGAGGGGAGGGGAGGATCAACCATATCAAAAAAATAATCATAATAAAAAAGAAATCTGAATTTAATGAAAAAATAATTATAAAAGATCGTCATTATCCTTCCTACGCTATTTGTAAACAAGAAAAGGGAAGAGGTAAATTGATTCATTTGTTTGCTAGAATAAACATATCTTGCTAAGAAAAGGTGAAGATGAAATGAAATTATTTTCACAAATATATAGATAGATGCATATATTTATGAATTTATATGTACAGATTTAAGTACCTGAAATGTAACAGTAGAAGTTTTGTCATTTGTCTTCCGTATGATGTTTGATCCGTTCACAGCAGTATGAAGAAGGCATAAAAGTGATTGCCAATGATTGATACTCACAGAATCCCCAATAAACATGATTTTCTTGCCTTTTAATCTCCTCAAAAAATCTTTAACATCAAACCTGCAGTGTTTAATCAAAGAAAATAAGGTAAAAATTTAGCATACATCAACTGAATCGATAATCATTTTTATTTTTTTTTTGAAGGTCAAAAAAATAACGAGCTTCTAAATGTAATATACTGTAAGAAAATCTAATTGGTGTGAAAAGCCATCTAGCATATATATTGGCATGTTTGGAAAAGCTTAAATTATAATTTAAACTGACCAAATACAGATTTTATTCCACATATTTTGTAGATCCAACAGCTAATACTAACTTATTTCTTAGAACCCACAACTTATAATCACTTAAAAAACATTACCAAACAAGTACAGAACGGCAATTTGTTTCTCTTCCCTTTATTTATATGCATTCCATTTGTTTTTTAGCATCAGACAAGAAAGCCAGAAAATTAAATTAAGAGAAATATTAATTAGAGGACATACCTGGGTAAGTTACAACCATTGGGTTGCCATCTATATTTAAGGTACTGATGATCAGGACGGCCATACTTCAAGCAGTCGAATTCTTTGCGAATAAATGGACATGCCCGCGAGTCATAAAGAGGATAAGATTCGTCATAAACCCACTTTCCGTCATACAAATTGCAAATCTGTTTCTTCCCTTCCCATTTCCCTGCATTTGCTGTGCATACACATGAAAAACCCACAGAAATGGCCCCAAGCATCCAAACAAAACTCCTTATTCCCCTGTACATGTTTCTCTCTCCTCGTTTGTATCTTGCAGTGTGTTAGAGAGAGAGACACAGAGAATAATGAGACAATCTGATAGCAAAGTGATTTATACAACTCTCCATTTGTCTTCCATGAAAATGAGTTTTTGGAAAAGAATAAATTTTGAAGTAGTAATATTTTGGAGAATATGTGATTAAAAAGTGAAAAAAAAAATTGATTTTACATTTAAAAAATTTTATTGTGTGAATACATGATTGAAAATGAATTTATAAAAAAAAAAAGTTTTATTTAAAGAAATTACAGATATTAGACGAGATAAAAGGTTAGGAAAAAAAAATCGAATTTACATAAGAAAAATTATTTTGTTAGGATAATACATGATTGAAAATAAGTTTAAAGAAACCTAAATATTAGAGAATGAGTCGTGTTGCTCTGTCTGAGGTTATAAGGGACAATTTGTTAAGATAATACATGATTGAAAATAAATTTAAAGAAACCTAAATATTAGAGAATGAGTTGTGTTGCTCTGTCTGAGGTTATAAGGGACAATTTGTTATGATCATATGATGGCTACATATGAATTATTAAGTCAAATTGTCAGAATAAGATTCCATGGCAAATAGAATTCTTGTGATAAATCACAGACATAAAGTTGACTTTTTATATCAGAAAATCCCAGATTTGTTTACACCAGTGCATGAGCCAAAATGGGATCTACATAATTAAGGTACTGTGTCCTCACATGACAAACACCTCACAGGTTGGTGTCACACCTCACTATTGATTATTGGCCTACTTTTGCACGTCTTTGTACAATACAAAATAATATAGGAAAGCACTTTTGCAAATTGGCTACAGCAGGAATAAAGATGGACCATGAAATTCCATCTTTATTCCTGCTATAGCTGTGGTCAAATATAGAATTTAAAAATCTTTTGAAAATATATGTGAAATGTGGTTAAACACAGGTATACATTAAAACCCGTATAAAATGATCGAGAAATTTTTTTTTTTTAGAAAGATTACTTCATCAATAAATGAATAATTTATTAATTTTTCTATAAATAAATATTTGTTATTAATTTAGAAAGTGTTTTATATTTTTATAAATTGTACATGTATTATTTTTTTTATTCAAATTGAGTGTACTAAATACGTGCAACATATACACACACAATTAGGAGTGGGTGTTTTTCTTAGAACCCGTGGAATAGGATTAGAATCGATAGAACCGGCTGGCACGGTTCCGATTCCTTTACTAAACAAATTGATTTTGGGACTATGGATTGAGAACCAATCGGTTTTGGTCCAATTCAAAGTACCACCTTGAAAATCAATAGTGGATTTAGTTCTCCTGAATTTCTCTTTTCGTTAATGCATTGCACCAAATCTTTGAAAATTAGACCCCAAATTATCTAACTTTGAAATCTTATTTTCATATACTTCTTTCCTTTGCACCAAAACAAAACGTGTAATCAAAATTCAAATAAATTTATTATTTTTGGCTAATGTTCAATCCACGCCTAATAAACCACGTCATTTTTGCCTAGTCAAAGAAATTACAAACGTTGTGATGCCTTGGTGATAGTATTATACATTTTGCAAATCACTTGCATCGACTTTGTATGAATATGACGAAAAAACCTTTTCGGTGCCAAAGGTTGTTATATGATGAGATGAAACATGTGTCATTGGTAAAACAATAATTTTCTGCCCATTGAATAATGTGTGTTTCTCATTACCAACGGACTATTTATTCAAAATAATAAGCTTACATCTAAAATAACATTTTGGTTTTGTAACTATATGATTGCTTTGTAATGCGAGTCTAAGGATGGCTAAGCCTTTGCTCGCTTTGCATTCGTTATTTATAATGTGTTTATGATTGGTGATTTATTTTCAATCTCACAATTAATTTCATATTTTACTTTTAAAATTTTTAAATATAAAGAATCGGATCGGACCGATCCAAAACCGAACCACTCGGTTCCGATTCAGTTCTATAGTTAGATATGGAACCAATGGTTCCATTTCTACGATTCCCATTAGTATTTGGCTCGGTTAGATTCCCTTCAAAATCGGATCGAAGTGGACCACGCTCACTCCTACACGCAATAGTGACAAACAATAATGTCCACAAATAAAAGTTAATAGTTACATTATATATACAATGGGCGTGGCTTCAAAATTTAACAATTTATAGAAAATTAATTGATATACTAATGGAATTGCCCACTCATGAAAAATTATTCAAGGGCTAGTAAACACGCCTACTAATATTGATCATAATCCTGATCAACATTCAGCAATGCTCAACACTAATGGAATTGCCCACTTATGAAGATATTAATGTTTTTTCCAACATTGCCTCGACATTCAGCAATGCTTGACCTCACCTTCCCACCCCCCACCCCCCGGCCGATGTGTGTGTCCTATCGACACCCTCCCTGCACTGCAACTTCGTCCAAAATGTAAAAAAAGAAATATTTCCCTACGATAAGTAAATGACTCATGTCAATAGAATATTCTTAGAAAATCCTCATCCATGATCAAGTGATTTGTGTCAAGGAGTAAGTGAAAGTCAAAAACTAATGGTTTATGAACAACAAAGAGGAGGAAAGGTAGAGATTTCAATCATTCAAATGTGGTGTTATACGGCCGGCTATATAAAGCCATCATTTGATTNGGTTCTAACTAGCATAAGTTATAATATACAACTTAGGCTAATATAGAGTACAAAATATATAGAACAAATGATAATATAAAGCATTGGTTTGACAATAAAAGTGTCACACGTTCATCAACACTCCTCATTGACACTTTTGTTGGAAACACCAAGACTTTCTCTCAATGTTTCAAATCTTAAGCTTTAGTTAGTATATTAGCAATTTGATCCTCAAAATTGCAATGCTTCAGCTCAACCTCATTCCTTTCTGAGCTTTTCTGATGAAATGGTATTTGAACTTTATATGCTTAGTCCTTCCATGGAACACTGGATTTTTCACAATAGCAACTGTTGATTGGTTGTCACAAAGAATGGTTATTGCCTCAGATCCTCCATCATTTTCCTCAACCAGATAGCCTAATTTGTTGGTTCAGATGCTGCTATGTATTCAGTTTCAGCAGTTGATTGGATACGGTTTTTTGCTTAACTGAATTCTAGCAAACAATTCTTGAACCAACATAGAAATCATAGCCAGAACTGCTTTTCATATCATCAACTGATCCGGCCCAATTACTATCAGTGAAACCAGTTAAAAACAGAGTTTTTGTCTTCTTGAAGTTGATTCCATCTCCTGTGTTCCTTTGATATATCTTAGCACTCTCTTGGTAGCTTGGAAATGGTTTTCACTTGATAGCATAATTATAGCAAACATTATATCAGGTCTGGTGGTAGTTAAATAGAGCAAGCAGCCAATTAAACTTCTATAAACTTTCTCCACAATCTTCTTTACTCCATCTTTTTTATCAGATTTAAGTTCTAAACTAAAGGGGTGTTAACTGGCTTACAATTTTTCATGTTAAACTTCCTTAACACCTCTTTAATATTATCTCTTTTGGCAAACAAAAATTCCAACCTTTGATTGCTCAATCTCCTTCCAAGGAAGTACTTCATTTCCCCGAAATCGTCATCTTAAACAACTTCTTCATTTCATCCTTCACCATTTCAATCAATGCTGCATCACTACCCGTGACTACAAGGTTATCAATATACAAAGAGATGATGATCAAATCCTCCTCCACTTGCTTAATGTAAAGTGTTTGTTCATCGATACTTTTAATGAAACGAAGGCTGCTCAAGTATTCATCTATCCTACTCTACCAAGTTTTTGGGGCATGCTTTAAAACATATAAAGCTTTCCTCAATAGGTACGTTATCCTCCTTTCCAGCTGCAATGAAGCCTTCGGGTTGCTCAATAAAAATTTCCCCATTCAAGTGTCCATTTAGGAAGGTTGATTTCACATCTAGCTAGTATATCCTCCATCCTTTTTTAGCAGCAATGGCAAACAGCAACCTTATTGTCTCAAACCTGATCACTAGAGCAAATGTATTAGTAAAATCGACTCTATATTGCTGAGCATAGCCTCTCACAACTAGCCTAGCCTTGAACTTGTTAATAGAACCATTAGCATTCATTTTGGTTCTATACACCCACTTTACTCCAATAACATTCTCATTTTTTGGTCTGTCAACCAGTATCCATGTTCCATTCTTTTCAATCACATTAAGCTCCTCCTTCATTGTATCTATCCATGCTTGAGAATCAACTGCTTCAGTGAAGTTTGAAGGCTCCAACACGACTAAATTACATGTAGCATAGATATCCGCAAGTGGTCTAGTTTTGATCACTTCATTCTTTGTATCTGATACCATCATTAGGTTTAGCTTCAACTTAACTTCTTCTTCATTGATAACATCATCTTCATCCTGTAGAATATGTCTTAGAACCTCAACTTTATTCACTGAACTTGACTCCCAATTCCATGAAGAGTTTTCATCAAACTTGACATCCCTGTTGGAAATCATTTTCTTGGTTTGAAGATTATAGATTCTATATCCTTTTGCATTATCACAATATCCATCCAAGATACCTGCTTCAGCCATTTGACTCAACTTATCCCTTTTTACATCTGGTATGTGAGTATAGCATATACTCTCAAACACCTTCAAGTGAGAAACATTTGGCTTAACTCCATACCAGGCTTCGTAACGAGTTAATTTATCTAAGGCCTTTGTAGATAACCTGTTAAGAAGATAAATGGTTGTGTTCACTACCTCAACCCAGAATTCGTTTGGCACTTTCTTCTCCGACATCAAACATCTTGCCATTTCCATAACTGTCTTGTTTTTCCTTTCACAGATTCCATTTTGCTGATGTGAGTAAGGAATGGTTAACTGGTGTTTGATTCCTACTTCCGTACAAAATCTATCAAACTGTTTGCTGGTATATTCAGTCTCATTGTCTATCCTTATGGCTTTTATCTTACAATCACTTTCATTCTCCACATGGCTTTTAAATCT